TTCTGCCTGCCTCCCTAGCATCACCATCATAGCTGTCCCCTGGGTAAGGCCACAATCTCCAAAGGCCCTTGTGAAAGGCAGACAGACCATCTAGTGACACCCCCAGCAGCCCCTAGGCGTGGAAGGGTCAACCTGCTCTTGGCAGCTGGGGAGGGAACAGGCCAGGGTACAGGGGGAGGGTGAAGGAGAAGGGGAAGGGAGAAGGGGAGGGGAGGGGGAGAGGGAGGAAAAGAGGAAAATTTAAGTAGAAGGAACACACTTGCTCAGTGATGGGTTTCAAACTGCAGCTGCATCAGCATCACCTGGGGGACTGCTGGGCCAACCCCAGTTTCTGATTCTGCAGGTCTGGGGCAAGAGAGAATCTGCATTTCCAACAAGTCCTCAGGTGCTGCCACATGGCGGGTCCTGCAGCACATCTCAAGAACTGCTGGCCCAGCTCCTGCGCGTATGGGGGTGGGGGCAAAGGCACGAAGGGCACAGTGGGCCACTGGAGGCTGGGAAGACCCACGGAAGTGAAGGCGGCAGGCACTGGAGGCCTTGGTCCTCCAACGCAGAGCGGGCAGCATCACCAGGGGTGGGGTGGGGATAACATTTAAAATGCAGGTTCCTGGGCCCACTCCCAGATGTTTTCCATTGTTCAGGCCTGGTATGGGGTCCAGGAAATGACAATGAAAAACAACAACAGAAGCTCCCAAGCCATTCTGACACAGGGAGTCCAGGGGCCACACAGAGAGGCATGTGGCCCTAGGGGAAGACGGTGGAGAAACAAATGTCTCAGGCTTCCCCAGCTGTGGGCCACAGAAACACTCGTGAGCACCATGTCCTGACTCAGAGGCAGCTCCAGTACTAGCCACACGTGGCCTTTGACAATTACATAAAGTTTAAAACTCAGTTCTTCAATCGTCCTAGCTACATTTAAGTCCAGGGGCTACCATCCTAGACAGTGCAGATACAGACCATTCCCGTCTTTGCAGAAAGTTCTCCCAGACAGCAGTGGGCTGGAGATCACACTGTTGTCTGCCTCTGCTTCCCATCCATAAAAAGGGACTCCTTCTGGTCATTCCCAGGGTGCCTGAGAGAGGAAAGACACTGCCAGGGCGGGCATCTCTACCCCGCCGTACCCTGGCGGGGAAGGCAGCCCAGCTCAGCAGGGGAGGTGCCCACATCTGCCCCGGAACCCGAGGGGGACCTCTATCCCTGCAGAGGGGACGTCAGAGATGCAAACTTGCCTCTAGAGCGGTGCTGGTGCAGCCAGAAGGGCCTGGAAGGAGCACAGGGAGGCTGAGGGCTGGCGCTGTGGAAATGCAAGCCGTGCAAGCTCACCTTGGCTGGGGGAGGTTTAAGCGAATGCCACAGAGGCCAGCGGGGCTGGAGGAAGGCCCGCCCCAGATCAGCAATGGCCTCGGCTTGGGTTAGATGTTTGAAGCCAACAGACAGCAGGGAACACTCACAGTGCACAGGTGGCTGCAGAGCCACTGTCCCGACTGGTCCAACCTCCCAACCCTCATCTGAGAGGAGAGATGGAGGTGGTGTTTGAGGCCAGGATGGGGAGGATGGGAAGCTGAGCACTTAGATGGGACGCCAGCGTCAGCCCCCGTCACAACCCCACGCTGTAGGAGTCCTCTCAGATACCCTGACCAGGCACACCCAGTCCCTGCCTGATGCCTCCAGTGCTGGAGGACTCACTGCCTCCCAGGGCAGCCCATCCCATTGCTGGACAGAAAATCTCTCTCCCAGTGAAGGAAAAGCTGTCTCCCTGCAACTTCTAAGCAGCAGGTTGCCCAGGTGCACTCCAGCCTGGCCAACACAGCAAGACCCTCCCCACTCTTCCACAAAAAATGATGCATATTAGTACCAGAGCCAAAACACTGTGCTGGTTTTAATCACTGGAAAGAGATACCTAAATTTATTTACTCCCCAAACCTTCCTGCGCAGATCCCTGGGGCAAGGCGTGGTCCTTAAGCTTAGCAGTCACAAATATAATATGAAAAACAAACTTACAAAAGACCAAACCATTCCCTTTTAAAGAAAAGGGAATGTTTGTTTATCAAACATAAACAAACAGACAAAAAGGATCATCATCATAGCTGGGTGTGGTGGTAAACACCTGTGGTCCCAGCTACTTGGGAGGCTGAGGCAGGAGGATCACCTGAGCCCAGGAGTTGGAGGCTTCAAGGAGCTATAATTGTGCCTGTGAATAGCCACTGTGCTCCTGCCTGGGCAACACTGCGCGACCCCGCCCCCTCCTCCACAAAAAATGACTCATGATAGCACCAGAGACATAACAATGTGCTGGTTTTAATCACTGGAAAAAGACACCTAAATTTATGTCTTCCCCAAACCTTCCCAGCACACCTGTGAGGTGGCCTGTTTTAAAGGAAGTGTAAGAAACACTGGGGATTACGCATCTAGGACAGGGTATCTCCAGGTGTGGTTCCGGGACCATCCAAGTGGGGGTAGGGACGGGCCGTATGTTAAAAGTGCAGGGTCCTGCAACTACCATGCGACTGCACTTGGAAGCGGCGCCTGGCTCAGGCTAACGCCCAGAGACAGAAAGGATGGTGGTTACCAGGGGCTGGGGAGGAGGACGGAGAGGGACTACAAAATGGGCACGGTTTCTGTTCAAGGTGATGAGAAAAGTTCCAGAAATGGATAGTGGTAACAGTTGTCCAATACTGTGAATGTACTTAATGCCACTGAATTGGACATCTGAAAGTGGTTAAAATGGTAAATTTTATGTTATGTATATTTTACTACAATTAAAAAGACACACAAAAAAGAAGTGCAGGGTCCCGAAGGGACCTCCACTCTGGATCTACCAAATCAACGGCTGAGTTGGGCCCCAGAATCTGCATTTGAGCCCCTGATGCCAGGGCACAGCACCCTGATGGCTGCCCGTGCAGGGGAGGGCCACAGACAGTCTTTCCCACTCCCCAGGCCCCTTGGCTTCCCACCCGAAGCATGTGAAGGAAACAGAAATCCCCCCACATGGCACCGACACACCTGGCACAGGTGAGATGCCAAGAGGAAGCACAGGTAAGTGCTCAGCGGAATGGTCTGTCACGTGAAAAGCATTAGGGCCCAAGGCGGGTGATGGGGGTGGGCTGGGGAACCTGGGAGAACAGGCCCCACCAGTGGCTTTGGGGACCAAGCCTTAAGAATCTGGGCGAATCACAGGACGAGAGTTTGGTCTCCTCTGTCTCCTTAGCACCCGGCCCAGTGCCTGGCTCCTCTGTGGGGCTGAAGGAGACAGGCATTGTGTTTGGAGGCAAGGCACAGGAATGCTGGTGACGGCCTGGGGCACAGAGCAAGGCATCCGAGCAACCCACACCCAAGCCTCGCCCTGGCTGCTCTGTGAGCACCAGGACAGTGTTGTGAGCTCACGAGCCTGAGAAATGCACATGCTTCTACTGGATTCTGGGAACATATGTGCCCAGGTGGGGGTTGGCACAGAAAAGAAAAAAGCGGGATTTAACTAGGACGTCCATCTACCTTACTGTCCACTTCAGTACACCGTGGGCATGGAAAGGACGCAGCTAATGCTTATACCAGGGCATGGGGGAAACCAGCATGAGTGGCCTCCAGCTTCTCACTCTAAAATTAGCCCAGTCCCAGAAAGGCAAAGGGCAGAGGTTCTCCATGTATGCAGAATCCCTTTACCAAAATCACCCAGGGCACTTGATCAAAATACAGATTTCTGGGTGGGGGAGCCCAAGAATCTGCATATTAGCACGCAGCCCAGACCCCTGCGGTCCCAAGTCTGAGAAGCCCCTTGAGTGGGTCAGAGGGGGCGAGGGAAGAGGGTAAAGAGTGAAGTCATTCCTGTGCTTTTAGAAGTTTTGACATTCGATCCTGGAAACCATCCCAGGTGACATCTTCAATTATGGTCCCTTCCCTGCCTCAGGCCTCAGTTTCCCCACCGAGGGAGCAGGCTGAGCATCCCTGTTGACGGTTCCTTCTCAGGGCTGTGCATTCTAGGCTCCCAAATGGCCAGAGAGGGACCTCCCGTCGGGGGCCAGCCTGCCTCTTTGGACTGTGGCTGGGGCAGAGGCACAGTCTCCTGGAGACAGAGACCAGGGGCAGCTCAGGGCCCAGAGACCCTCACTCCCAGCCCACTCTGGCTGATTGGGGCCAGTGTGCCCGAGATGCCAGGGAGAAAATCCCGTGACTCTCCGCATCTCAGCCTCTGCTCTTGCCCTGGGAGCCTGGGGAATCGTCAGCTGACAAGGAAAGCGCAGGAAGAACAGTCCCGGGCAAGGCAGCACGCAGGCCTGGAGCAGCCACTTACAGCAACCTGCACAACCTCCTTCGGCCTCAGCGGTCTCACCTGTGAGATGGGGGGGACAGCAGCTGCCTTACAGGAATGGGGGCTCAACGGGAACTTGTGTAACCAAGCGCTCGGCTCCTGGTCGGCCGTCACTAAATGATTCTTCGACATTAACAGGACCTGACCAAACCAAAATCCGTATTTTTTCCTGCCCAGGCACAGCAAACTTCACAGCTGGGGGAACCCTGGCAGGGCTGGGCTGTGAGGTGAGGGATTCACAGCTGGGGGCACCCTGGCAGGGCTGGGCTGTGAGGTGAGGGATTCACAGCTGGGGGCACCCTGGCAGGGCTGGGCTGTGAGGTGAGGGAATAAGGCATCCAGGAAACGGCAGCTGTTGTTTTTACTTCTCTCCAGCCCCCAGGGAGAGCTTTCTGAAGCTTCTGTACAATTAAAAGGTACTGAACACACTCAATGCCTGTGATAAAGTTACAGCCCAAACGGGCTGGGAGCCTGAGCCAGCCTCCAAATCCGGGCGGCAACGAAAGGTGAGGCCGTTGGCACCTGTGGACCAGCCGCCAGGTGCCAGGTGGTGGGTGTTTCCCAACATGGTCCCCAAAGTCCAGCACGTAGACCAAGGACTGTCACCACGCTGAGCCCGCCAGCTCCCCCTCGCCCCAGCCCAGACCTAGTGTCACCCAGTTCAGGGCCAGGACATCAGGTGAGACTCGCCTACCTGTCACACTCTTCTGACCGTGAACTTCCTCCAGATCTGGGGCTGCTGCGGCCCCTGATGGGCTGACGCCATTTGGCGAGGGCTCTGAGGAATTGCCACAGCCAGCATCCTTTAACTGGCCTCTCTTGAAGGCATCCAAACAGCAGACGAGAGAAAGCCTGAGGCCCCCATTTTCACGGAGGCTGCCACAAGGGGTGCAGAGGGGCTGGTCCTCGTGAACAGGAGGCAACCCTGCCTTTCCGTCTCCCAGACACGTACTCATCTGGCGCCCACAACATAAAGTGCATTTACAGAGAGTAAATCTGGTAAAACAGCTACACACACGCACACACCTTATAACCATGCCTACCTCTCTGGAGTGTTTATAGCCCTTAGTGACTCACAGCAGACACGGGATCCCCACGGCAATGGCTTCGGCCAGCGTTAATGATATGTGGGATGTGCTTATCTGCTGGGGCTAAAATCTGTTTACACGCAAATGCACCTGATTTTCCATGTTTGTCTACTCGCCATGTTATGGGTGAGAGAGGCCAAGTCCAGAGCGTGGGTGCTATTTTCCTCTTAAGATGATTAAAAGGAGAACACAGTCTCCTTCCTCTAGAATGGCCGGAGAGGGCTGGCAAATCGTCCAGTGAACTCAACTGGAGTATTACAAAGAACACAAAGAGCGCGTCAGGACCACTGTGGAGGCTTCCTGAGGACTCAGAAGGCCAATGAGCAGTTTTCCTCCATAGTCACTCGTTTGAGCAAATCCCAAATATTACAAACTTCAAAAATAAATATATATATGTATCATTGTTTTTCATACCCATACGCACACATTTCCAGTTCTTTGGACTCCGGATAAACAGGAAACCCCCCTCCTTCCTTGTGGCACGGAAAGCATTAGGCTCCATAGGTATGAAGGATGCTAATCATACGGATTCCTGTCCAATCTCCAGTAACTCTGAAGTAGGTAACCTGATCCCTATTTTAACTTGCTTGCAGGCACACAGCTCCTAAGGAGCAGAGCTGACGAATTCAAGCCAGTGTGTGTTTGATTCCAGAGCTGGGGCCCCGTACCCACTACCCTGTGCTGCAGGCCCTGGCAGAAGGATGAAATTCAGTCCATCTCACTGAACCACAAAGTATGGAGCATGCCACCCAAAGTATGGAGGGTGCTGGGCCACAGGCCGAGACCTCCCTAGGGAAACCAATCTGAGCAGTGGCTTTCACTCCTGATATCCAGGACAGCCAAGCCGCCAATTGTCTCCACCCTGCTCTGCTAGCCAAGGATGCTCACACTAAAGCCACCACTGCATTCTAGTGGGCAGCTTCCTAAAAGCATCCCTAATTCCAAGGAGTGGAGATTTAATCTCATTCGATCCCAGCTGAAGTTCTTTTCAGAAAGGATAACAGAAAGCTGACCTCATGCTGAAACTGCTAAAGGCACAAAGATAAGCAAATGCTTGAGTTGCTTAAAACAAGGAATGTCAAGGAGAGGACAGACTTTTTTTTTTTTTTTAAGGATAAAGGTTTAAAGGAAAAAGGGACCTGAAACAATGTGGGTCTACTTTCTTAAGATCAACCCAAGGTTTTTCCAACTTTGAGGTCTACAATCTAGGATAAATTCCTGGCTGTGATACACACTGGCTGTGACCTTGGGCAGTTACTCAACTTTTCTAAGGACCAGCTTCCCTGTCTGTGGTCTGTTGATGGGATTAACAACTGCCCCACCCCGGTTGCTGGGAGGACCAAGGCAGACAAAGCATTGTGTCTAGTTAGCACTGAGACTGGCCCGCAGCGCTGGGAACCAGTACACAAAGATACACAAGTGCCTGGTCTCCCTGTCCACGGGTTTTATGTGGGGGGCAGGGGAGGGACAGGAAGCGAAAGAACACAAATGATGATAATAAATAAATAAAAAGTAGACAGTGTGAAGAGGCAGGAGAAGGCTCTGTGGCTTTTTGAGCTGGGGGCGCAAGAGCCTAATGGGGCCAACGAGTTAGGGTTCAGCGGGTTCAAAAGTGGATCCATAAAAGTGCCTAGTCTACAAAGACACTCATTTCCCACCATCTTTTAAAAAACAACTTGGTTCCTTTAGCTGATCGGAAATGCCCCTTGCCTTAGAAACTCAGCACTCAGCACTCACTCACGCACCTCACACAAGCGTGTTCTTTCTCTCTGACCACCCTACCTAAACGCTAAATAGCACCCACTCCCATCACGCTAACTTCTTCCCTGGCTTGCTTTTTCTGCATAGCACTTAAACCCTCCCCGGACATATCCTGTGCATATTTGCCTACTGGAAATCTCCTCCCACAGAATATAAGCTCCATGGAAACAAGGGCTGCAGTTGTCTCCTTTGCTGCCATATCCCTGGCAGCTACGACAGTGCCTGGCCTGGAGTAGATGCCCAAAAATGTGACCGAAAGAACAGACAACAAAAGATCGAAGGACTTGATTCACGTTCACAGCTTAAGAACCCCCAGGAAGCACCTGGTTCACTCTGTTGGGGCTCTGGAATGATCTGCCCCTCAGATGGAGTTATTCCCATCACGCCAACAGGGAAACTGAGTTGTGGAGCATCTCAAGGTCAAACAGAATCAAGGCAGAAGCAGGTGCGGACTGTGCAAACATCCAATGTCTGCACCTCCTGCTCAGGTCAGTGGTCGACTCGCCCTGGAGTCCAGAGCTGTCACCATCACAGGACCCATCATCCCACTGGTCTCGGGACACCCTCCCTGAGCAATGTCAAGCTGTCCAGGCCTCCATCCCACCAAGCCGGCGTCCCCTCTCCCATTTCCCTTCCCCATACCTCTGAAAGTGCCAATTCCCAGACTCTCCAGTCTAACAGGGCACCTCCTTCTGTTCCTTAAACTGAGTACCATTCAACTTGGGACCACAGTGCTGACATTCTAGGGTGAGTCACCTCACAGCCTGGCTGAAGTGTCTAGTTCAGCAACAATTTCAGCTTGCAGTTCTGAGCAGAGTTCCCATTTCTCTCCCAGAGGAAAACCCCTCTTAACAGCCAATAGATTCAGAAACCACTTCCCTGATGGGTGGTCCTCGATGCCTGGCCATCATGGAAGTTCTCAAAAACTCCATTTGGTCTTTGAGAACCAGAGACCAGAAAAGGGTGAAGGGTAGTAGGGTAGAGAAAACTCAAAACTTCCTTGTTTAGCTGCTGCTTTGGTCCCATTTCACACCAGCGATGACATCTGTCAATCAGGAAAGGAGATCTCCAATGCTCTCTCCCCTAAAAGGGACTCCCCATGAGGGCTGCAGGAATAACCACCACCCCAGACCTACGAGACAGGCGTCAGCTACACCATGTCATTAGGATATTGTTATTACGAACACACTAATGGAGTCCATATAGACACAAAGTAAACAACTGTATCTTCACCCAGCCGTCTTCTGTACATGTTTACATAATAACAAATTCCATTGACACAACACTCAGCTTTGGATCACTTAGGTATTTTACAAACAAGACAAAAGTCATCTGGACAGAGTTCATGAGGGTGGAGATGGAGCAGCAGATAGCATCACAGCCTAATGGGAAACTGAGTCAGGGGGCACGGGGAGGTAATTGAGCAAGCGTGTAATGACAGAAGCAGCTGAGGACTAACATTCATTAAGTATTTATGATGAACAGACACCATCTTTTGAATGACGAGTCGTTACTTGACACTATTATTACTATTTATTATTTCTATGGTACAGATGGGTAAACCAAGTCTCAAAAAGATGAAGCGACTTGCCCAAGCTTTCCCACCTGCTTACTCTGGGCATCTGTGCTCTGTTTCACATCAACCTGTCTTGGACTCTCACTGCCACATGCAACTTGGGAGAAGGTGGGACGAAGTGAAACTCTCACACAGGACTTTGCCCTGGCACCGGCAGCCGCATTCCACCTTCTGGGGAGACCAACATAGGCAAAGCAGGAATTAGGGGCCTTGCTGCTGGCTTTTTCTCATAGGAAAGAAATAATTATTAGGTCAATAAGCCCCTGTGTTTCCCCCGCTGCTGAGCGTGCTGCCTGGGCGGGGGGGATTCCAAGGCTTTGGATTGCCACAGACACAATCTGAAATTCTAACTCCACGGCTTAGGACTGCGGGACCTTGGGCTACTGGCTTAACCTCTGGGCTTTTCTGCTCTCACCTGTATAGAGATAACAGCCTCCCTCCCTGGGTGAGGTTTGAAGGGGACACTGTATGTAAATTACTAGAACACATTAGGTATCTGAGAAATAATGAACAAGCATGCTGTGCCGCCCCCCCCCCAATTTTGCCGGAAAAAAGAATCAAAAACTCAAACCAAGAAGGAAAAACCCGCCCAAAAAAACCCCTCCGGGCCCAACCAAAATCCCTCCCAACCCCGAAGCAAAACGAACCAAGGGGCCCCCCCCCATGACCTAACCTGGGGGGCGGGGAGACAGCTGCGACCGGAACCAGACGGAATAGGCACACCCACTGGGAACGCTTTAACACTAAAAGGCTGTTCTGCACTTGGGGCGGATTAGCCAACGATACACAATTAGATCACTGCATTTGTGTCGCCACCGCTGCAATTTCTCTTTCTGCATTACTCGGAGTTCAAGTGCATGAGAAACGCAGCAATCTCTCCGCTCCCAGCAAATGCGAGTCATCAATTTCCCCTCCCAGGGGCAGCGGAGAAGGGGCGCTCTCATAGCACTCTGTGGGGCTGCCAGATGGCTTACAGGTGCTGTCACGGGGGGCCGCCCGAACTTCGCTCCTGGGTGACCCTTTCCCACGCTTCCCAAAACAGGCGCGGGGTCCCACCGGAGCCGGGTCTCCAGGCGCCGCGGGATCGCACGACTCAGGCTGGCGCGGCCTTGGCCTCCCCCTGCAGTCCCTGGGAGGACTCAAGCCCAAGAGCCGGGGAGCCCCGAGCCCCCACCCCCACGCTTAACGACTAACTCCGGGTCCCACGCGTCTCCCGGCTGCACCCGCCCCGCGCACGGGGCTCCGCGCGCCGCGAGAACTTTGCCGCCAGCGGCTTCCCGGTCCCGGCTGGGAGCGCCCCC